TTTGGCGCAACTTTGAATAATTTTAGTATATCATCAATTTAATTTGATATGTCTGTCAATTATATTAAATATCAAATAATAAAATTTCATTATTATTGTGATAATTTAGTTTATATATTGTATTTTCACTAATCTTAACGGTCTTATTTTTTCTAATAACCGTAACGCTTTTACTAAATGTACTTTTTACAAATATCCTAATATCTTATAATTTTAATCTTACTTTATAATTTTTCATAACTATTTTATTTTCAAGATTGACTGCTTTAATAGTGTTTTTTTTTTTTTTTTTTCCAGTCTATTCAATTTTATATTTCATTGTACAACATCATCGTTTGTATGTAATATGAAATTTCACTTTAAAAATGCTTAATGCTTACACCTTGATATTAATTTTTTTAATAAACGCATGTAATAATTATGGAATATATATATCTCATTTTAATTAACATTCACTTCCTTTATTATATCAAATTCCTCATTAAACGGATATACTTTTGGAAAATAATAATTATAATAGGACAACATTATCTAAAACGTAAATGTTTGATATACTTTTGGAGAAAAAAAATCAGGATCATTAAAAAAAATTTATATAAAGAAAATACAAATTTAAATTTGTTGAAATTATGGATGAAATTACTGGCGAAAATTTATTTTGGAAGGAGTTGTATTTTGTAAGGTATAATAATATTACAAAATTTGAAATATTTATATTTGTTGTGCAAATTAATAAATTTTATTGTTACTATACGAAGATAAAAAAAGTAGGTTGATATGATATACAAAACATAATAATTTCAATGATATTTTAAAATCATGCCAAAATTAACCGGATTCTTATGACATAAAAAAAAATCATAGTCATCTCTAATATATAAAAGTAACATTTTCGTAATTAATGTCAGTTCCCAAGATAGTTAATTTTTGTTTTGTTAAAGGTACCTAATACCTTTTCATGTTTATTTGAAAAGTTTCAGAAAAGTAGTTAACTGATTTCATGTAATTTGTGACAAAGAAAATCGAAATATATGAATACATACATTTGATATAGGAACAAAAAATGATCGAAAAAAATATAAAAAATGAAAGAAGGTATTGACCTTCTAGCGCACAAGAGCGAATGTTGATAGCAGAGAATGATGATGAAAGTTATAAGCAATATTAACGATGTTGTAGGAGAAGGTTTGAAGAAAAGAAACGATTGAAAATAAATGTGAGTCGCGGATTCAATGATGAATCGTATATGTATGTGATAATTTGAATATGATTTTTCGGTATTAATGATTTCCTAATAAAAAAAAATTTATATTACTGGTTTACTAATATAAACGGATTTATATTAATGGTTGATATTAAGGCCTTGATTGAAATGATTTGTTAATAATATATTTTTAAAATTGATCATATTAAAATCTTCATAACTGAAAATTCAAGATGTAAAATATGGAAAGTTTTTTATTGAAATTAAATACATTCCATTTCAATGAATGTAAGTTATTGATTGATGATTGGAAAACATTTATTGGAATTAAATACATTCCATATGAGAAAGATGATGTCAGCAATTTGATTTAAGAGTGAAAAAAATAAGATTGAAATACAATCAATGGTCCAGATTATTTAAGATGATGTCATAAAGTTTCTCTTTTAGTAATATTTAAGATTAAATCTTAATTTACACGCTCCTTTTTTAAAAAAATAGTTAGTCAAATCTTAGTGCATCTCATGTAGTATGACTTAAAGGTATGGTTTTGATTTGATCATAGTTAAAACAAAGATATATTGGATGTGCTTAACAAAACTAGATGGGAGGCGAGAACTATAATTTTTATTTGTGTGTATAAGTGTTTGGAAAACTAGAAGAAAATTTTGAAAAATGTAAAATTACATAAAAATAAAAAGTTAAAACTTCGTAAAAATTAATAGTTTCCAAAGCTATTTGAAGCAACTTTTAGATTATGAGCTTTTTACAAAAAATAAAAATAAAAGCTTGAAGTTCGTATTCTTGAACGAAACTTTTTCTTTAGTTTGACTTTTTTTAATGCTAAATTTTTTTAAAATCACTCGAAAACTCAACTACCTTGCAAACTCATTAGGCAAATGCATCAGCAATGTTTATTATTACGATTGATATCATATAATTATATTTTTCTATGGTGCATGAAACTATGAAAATTTTGTAATTTCATAATTTTAAAAATAGTTAAAGTAACAAACGTTTTATAATTAAAGTCCATCACTATTCCGTCGCAGTAATATGACTCCAAATAATCGGCATTAATCCATCACACAATACATCTAATGTTATTCCATCACTTAGGATTTGTTGCTAATCTTTTACAAATATGTTGCTTTTTGGTTGTTTAAACTTGGCTTCAAAGTTGTTTGAGCGATAAAATGTGTTAGATTAACGACAAATATTTCCATCGTGAAATGACATGTTCATTTTCTAAAATTATTAGCCTTCAATAATTATAAATTTACATTGCTAATCTATATTTGTAATGGATTAACGAGAGATTTAGCCTTGTCTAAAATCTATATTTTTTGGTAGTGGTAGATACATCAGACGAGCATGAATATAGAAAACTTTGAGGTTAGTGGCAATTTATCATTGCAATGTTCTCAAACTAATGATTCATGATTCATATGTGAATATCTACTTCACTAATATGGTTATATAGTTATATTGTAATATGTTAGAAGATTCACATATGATTTTCAATACTTTATAACATAATGATCCACAAGTGAATAATTATTTTGGGCTATATAATTACATAATCATTATATGTGTTTGTAAATTTAATAAACTTATGTTACAAATATCTAAGGACATTATAAATTTATACAAACATAGTATTTTGGGCTATATAATTACACAATCATTATATGTGTTTGTAAATTTAATAAATTTATGTTACAAATGTTTTAAATGAAAAACATAATACTAACGAATAAACAATAGAAAGACATGAGATGTGAAATGACGTTAAATGACGTTGAGGTTAAGTTATCTACGATACAAATTTGTAAAACAAATCATGCTTTTTATTGGATTAATGTGTTCGGCATGAAATGCATTTAAAACTTCTTATATGGTTTAAATGAACACAAATATATAATTAGCTTTATTCATATTTGATGCATCACACATTTAAAATTAACATTTTTAAATATAAAAAGTATGTGTAAACGCCATCTAATTCATGTGTTAAAAAATGCTATAAAGCAAATTTCGTATACAAGAACTTATTGTTAACAAATGGGTTGTATACTAATACTTCAGCCATTGTCTTTTTTTTTTTTTTTTTTTTTTAAATGCTTAATTTTATAAAAAGTAGACCACATAAGATGACTTACCTTGATTAGACGTGGTTAATATTGAATTTTGCCCATTTATTTGATAATTATTTATATATTTTCGGTTACATTCAAAAACCCTTTATAACAGTAATTGATAATATATAGGATGTGCTAAGCTTCGTAGAACCCGATTTGAATTTGTTATGTTTGTGGTAAAAGGTAATAAAAATTAGAGAGATTAACGACAAGTAATTCTAAAAAGCTGATTTTTTTTAAATAACTATCAATTTACTTGATCATTGTAATGAAAGTAATTGATTGATTCTGATTGTAATTGTAAAACTATAATAAAGAAAAATATTCCAATGACCCCATCCAACATTTATAGTTTGTTGCACTCATAATTAAATTTGTCCACGTGCTTTAAAACCTCAAAATTTCCTAAAAATTAAATGCAACAATATTTATTCGAACATTTTGATATTATTTTTTCCTTAAAGGAAAACAACTAAAATGTGTTTGAAAAATCCAAACTCTTAAGTTAAGACATTGACAAACTAATGTATTTTGAAAATTATATGCAGGCATTAAAATAAAAATCAAGATAAGGTTTCCCATTCATACAAATATATTCAATGTATAATCCTAATAAGTCGTTATACGGAAATAACACGAAAAGTTCAATAAAAAATCATAATTAATCAATGAATAAAAGGAATCAAAAAACCAATAATAAACGTTTGAATGTAAAGTGATTGATGGTCAAGTGATGGGTTGTATATTTGTACGTTGGATGCGTATGCATTCTCACGATTCGAAAAGTATTTGAAAACATTTAATCTCTAACTGTAAACATAAAATTTAATGAGTTCTTCAAAATACCACATACATCACATACCAATGGGCCCATCCTATGGGTATATTTCAACCCATGTGAATGCTATGGTCCCTCATAGTTTTACAATCACTTTCGTTGTTGTAGTCTACCTACACCCTTTTTTGCTATGGTCACACCATAGTCTTTCATACAATTGTTATGCCCCCCATAGTCTATTATACCATTTTTATGGTTCCCCTTAATATTTTATATAAAAGTCACAAAGACAATCTAGCATACAATAACACTAGCATACTCTATAGTATAACGAGAAGACTCACTTTGCAGAATCTGAAAATCCCGATTTGCATGAATAATCGCAAAGGTTGGTCTCACGAACCACCTAGGCATAAAATATAGGTCAAACTTCATTCTAAAACCCGAACCCCAAAATTTGACACAATGTTAAACTTAGCCAAAAGTCAAAAAGTCAACCCACTGGTCAACGGGCGCGCCACGCCACGCCTTCTATTGGGCGCCTCAGTTCTCACGCCCACTACATGACAAATAATCGGGATTCAGCTTAAAAACCAAACGCGTCCAGAAAAGCCCATAAGCGTGTCACATCCTACCTTGTCCAACCTATATATTTTGACTTAAACCATTAAGTCCAAGTCTCTAATATTCAAATCTGGATCTCCTTGATGTCTGAATGGATAAAGTATCCAACTTTATCCATTAAGATCTCCCAAACAAACTAGATCTAAAACCCTAATCTTTAAATGTCTAAGATTTCATTTTTCTTATACATGAAATAAAAGATAACATGTAAGCACTCAAAGATCCACCCAAAAGGTTAAGTCTAAAAAGTAAAATGATCCAAAAACCATGGAGTTTTCCAAACTTGATAGATCAAGCCATGAAGGGGCCAAAACACCATAAAAGTGGACTAAAACACAAAAAACTTTTAGAACCAAAGGTAAAATGTAATAAATCAAGGATCTTTGCAACTTACAAAGGTCCAGAAGTATGGAGAATACAAGGATCTTCAAGCTTCAAACTCCCAAGAATCACATTTATTGATTCCTTCACCAAAACTTTTCAAATAAGCAACAAAAATGGTTCACAGAGAGAGGATAAGCTCACAACACTCAAAGAAGGCTAGGGTTTCTCTCAGGAGACGTTTTAGGGTTAATGGAGGCTAAGAAATGACATGTCCTTCGAGGTAATGCACCTTATATAACCTTAAAACCCAAAAACATGTTCGACCCATTGGGCCGGAGGCGCGCCACACCTTTTAAAGTTCGCTTCGAGTCCCTTTTGATAAATTCCAGATTTTCAGATTTTTCAACAAATGCGATAAATGGCTCCCTTCTTCATCCCATCCTTCTACTTTCTTATGGACTATAAAACCATGATTAATGAGTGAGAAAACATAATCAAAACTAGATGTTACATTTTTCCATAGGGCTATTTTGGAAAGACAATTTTGGTTATACGTATATTTACATGGTATTAGACTCGACATCTCGCACCCCTGTGACTTAACACATCCACGTCTATTCTCATCAAGTCTTCGATTCTGAGAAGGAGTGTTAGTGTATTTCACATCGGTCCAACACATCTTATAAATGACTAAATATGTTGGAATCTTCCATCTGTAATAAGAGTCATTTAAAGAAACAAACTTGACTCCACATATATTTACATTTATATCAAAAAATGTGAAGAGATTTGGTAACAAATTTGTCTAACATACAATATACAAATATAACAAATTTGTCTAATATACAATATACAAATATACATTATGCATTTCATTTGATGGTCATGTTAATTTAAATGAATAATGACATTAAATCTATCAACAAAAAGTAAATTATAAATGAATTTTGTAAAAGAGATACATTATTTAAGGAACAAAAAATATCATTTTGATATTTCTCCCAACCTCCTCGACCACCACCATACTTTTCCCTTTCAATTATTTTTCGGTTTTTATTTTCATTTTTTATTTTTTATTTTCCGGTTTTCTTACTCAAAGGGTTTCCGGTTTGACCGTATATATATAAAGGATTTTCCCCGGCTCCTTTTTCTTTTAATTCACTCTCTCTCTTTCGTTCTCTGTTTCGCCGACTGCTTCTCTCATTCCTCGCCAGCTTCGCACACATCAATTTCACCGGTTTTCGCAATCATATCGCCGTCTTTCCGGTGATCTCCTCCACTTATCCGATCTACGGCGATCTCTTAACTCCTTCGGTCTCACACTGGTGCGTCAAGCTCTTTCACTACGTTCGTGCTAATCATAAATCACATGATTATAACCCTAACATATATATTGTAATTTGATTCGGATACTTCTCGTTTGATCTTCTATGGGAGACTCTTGACACTTAAAATTAATCTGTTTCCTATGATCTAATTAATGTCTTAGCATTGCGGATTCTTTCTTTTTCTTTTTATGTATGCACGGTATGGCGATTTTCTGTTTTCGCCGATTGATGTCTCTTCAACTTTATACAAAATTTTGGCAATGACGCAAGTATGATGGGATTTCTTATTGAATTTTTGTAGAAATATGTACTTGTTGGATTGCTGCGTGACCTTTTACTCTCTAAGCAAGCTCCATTAATTATTACTGATGTTTATATTTTCTGTACATCATACAGAATTACGTAGAAATATGGATCTTGTATTTTTTAGGTTAGTAATTGGGAGTTCGGTTCAGCATTGTAATTAGGGTTCCTTTTTGTTGACCTCATTATTGAATCTGTATTCTGTAGTAGTGCGTATCGTGCATAACAAGATAGGTTTTTAGTTCAATCCGTGTCCTCAAGGGTGCTTGGAAAATTGGCATATAAATTCCATTCAGATTATTATCATAATGTAGTAAACTTTTGGGGTGAAAAAGAATGGACACTCTTGACGACGGTGTTATATACTTATATTCTTCTTGGAACACATTTGTCACCCAATATGACTTATTTTGTCAATTCTGTTTCTTCTCCTTTTTTCCTGTACCTTATTGGTCATGGTGGCTGATTTACCTGAAAAAGGCCTTGAATGTGTATTTTTGTAGTTATCCATAGAATCAGAGTACATATGTCATGATATCTTTGGAGCTTAAAGCATAAGCAGCATGTGAAATGTTGTTTGTATGTCTATGAGTGTTGAATTTGCATGTAATATCTTTAGTATACAATTACATAGAGGGGTTAATCAAATGCGAATGGTTAATGAGGCTATATATAAGTTGTTAATGAATGATTCTTTAACTAATGTTAAAATTATTATATGCTAACTCATGTGAATATAGATGCCAGTTGCAAAACTTTTGGGCACCAGTTCTGCAGATGCAATGAAAGCAGAGGAAGGGAGTGATTCCTTGGATACCTTCATCAAACAAGCAGTTGGAAAAGAACCTTCATTTTCATTTTCAAGAACTGGGGATAGCCCTGTGCAGTGGATACAGTTACTTCATGCTTTGGATCAACAAGGTATTCACTTATCTTCTTCTCTTCCACCATTATCTGCATGAAAGAAAAATGACAAATATGCCCCTACATCTAACTCTTAACCATTTTCTGTAGATCTCCCTGGTTGGCCCTTGTTGGCTCCTATGAAGATTCAGATGCAGAAATGTGAGAAATGTGCCCGTGAATTCTGTTCTCCTGTCAATTATCGAAGACATATACGAGTTCATCGTCGCTCTTTAAAGTTCCATAAGGTTTATTTTATATCTTTATTGTAAATTTATAATTCAATTTCACGCATCTTTAAAGTTTAAACTAATTCATCCTATCTTTTCTTATACATATATGTAGATATCTGTTTGTTAATACTAAATCCTTAATACACTTGTCTCTACTTTCATTATATAGGAGTCCCAGAAGTATAGGGATTTATTGGGGGCATTTTGGGACAAGGTAAGACTCGAATTTTTTACTTATATTTAGAAAGTTTTGTTCTTTAACCAGTTTTTTGTGCTCATTGTTATTGTGTCTTATATAGCTCTCATTTGATGAAGCCAAGGAAATCATGTCTTTCAAGGATGTTAACCTGGAGGTACTTTCTCTTTTCTAATTCATTCTTTTTAAAATTTTGTAAATAATTAATTATGTTTACGAAAACTATGTTATCAAAGTAGTTAAATAATTAATCCAACCCATTTCCATTTTAGGAAGTTCCAGGGTCTTCAATAATAAGAAACATTATAGCAAATCTCCGCAAGCCAATCTTTCTATCTCTCCCACAAATTTATGTCAAAGCTGGCTCTATGCTTGTGGTAAGTAATCAATCACATGTTATTTTTAATTTTTTTAACAATTAACATTTTGTAATTAATCATTATATATAACTTATAGGACATAATCCAAGGTAGACCTTCTACTTCTAGACTTCCAGTTTCCTCCCAAGAATTATTCAGCATCCTAAATGATGCTAGTGAGACAACATTTCTAAGTGCTGGAACTGCTGAATCATTACAAAAATTCGTCTTTGATGGAGAAGCTGGTAAAATTGGGCTTGAAATCAAAAACCTAATTGCTGCCACCAGCTTTCTTTTCGAACAAAAATTGGTATTTTTTTTTCTTATTTAAATTATTAAAATATATTGGAAGTGGTAATAATAAATAGAAAACTTTACATACATACAGGTCAAAGCATGGCTTGCAGACAAGGATGCTGAAGCATTAAGATGCCAAAAGTTACTTGTTGAGGAAGAAGAAGCTGCTCAAAGGAGGTATGTAGTTTTCACTATTCACAGTTTCTTTCTTAACAATTTTTTTTTTTGACTTTTTTATTTTATTTTATGTAGGCAAGCGGAGATTTTGGAAAGGAAAAAACAAAGAAAGCTAAGACAAAAGGAACAAAGAGCGAAAGATCAGTCAAACGAAGTCAAACCGGATTTATTTGAAACAACAACTCCATCCACAGAAACATCCAGCTCTCCAACTTTCGCGGAAGTCGATTCGTTTTCTCCAGATGACGATGAAGATGATGATGATGTCATCGTTCAGTTTTCAAACAATGTAGAAGAAGAAGAAGAAGAAGAAGAAGAAGAAGATCCGAATGTTGTGGACCCCATGGAGCACCAAAAGGTGCACGGGAATGATTTGCATCAGATGGTGGCTCGATGGCAGGTCCCGAAGTCACAAAAAGGAGGTCGAAACGGGTTTTACGGATCCAAAAGGGAACAAACACATAATAAGCATAGAGAACAAAGGACTAATGTTGTCAATACGAGTAAAATATGGACGAAAAAGCCAAAACCGGAAAATGGAGGGGTGGAAGTTGTGAAATCTAGAATACAAAACGATGCAACCAGTCAGAGCCAGAGCCAGAGCAACTGTAGTCAGCTGATGATTGGTTCCATATCTGTGACAGTTAGAAGTCCAGGTCAAGGTCAAGGTCAAGGTCAAGAAAATGGAAATACGGAAGTCAAAAAGAACAGCATCCAGGCTGGCAGTGGCAGTGGCAGGGAACGTTCCACTGTCAAAATTTGGAGGCCACGTCATGAGTCAAGAGGTGTATCTGGAGATAGTAAAGTAAAAGGTGAGAATGGTCAAAGTCAAACTCCGCCTACGTGTCAGTCAAATGATGACAGTGACGGTGGAAATGAGCCCGAAGCAAAGCTCTTCTCTCTTGATGCTGCAAAAGCTTTTCTTGCACAAAGTACGCTCTCTCTCTCTCTCTCTCTCTATATATATATATATATATATATATATATATATATAAAATGTAACTTAAATTAGTGTTTATTTATTTAGTAAGTAATAATAATAATAATATGTAATGTAGGATGGAAGGAGGCGATATCGGGGGAGCATTCGAAGTTGATTTTATCTTTATCATCATCAAGAGAGGAGCCACCTGGCGAGAATAACGAGAGTTCAAGCAATAATAATATGAATAACAATACAAACAATAATGCGAGTATTAATAATACGAATAATGTGAAAGTGAAAGTGAAAGGGAAGTTTGTAATGAAGGGTGAGAAAGGAGGAGGAGGAGGAGGGGTGAAGACAAAGTATATTCCAAAACAGAAAGGTGGTGTTAATTAGGAGGGGGAGGGGGAGAAGTGAAGTGAGGTTAGGTTGATTGATTTTGATTGATTGATGGTTATACGGAAGGAACAACAATATGTGCAGCTTTTTATTAACCACAACACAACAGAGTGAGAGACATTTTATTAAAAGTATTATTGTTTAGCCGGAGGTTCCAGTTTTACGAGTGGGTCTTCTGTCCGAAATTCAAGGTAAGAAAGAAAAACGATTCCATATCCGTATCATACTAGTTTTTTTTTTTTTTTTTTTTTTTTTTTTTTTTTGGTTTTGATCTTGTGGGGGTTTTTTGGATTATGAATCTGGATAATCTTTTGGAGGTGGTGCTTGTTTTTGTTTTTGGTTTTGATGATAGGATACACTATTGAAATAATCGCAATGCAAATGCAACCGCTCGCATCTGTTTTTGGTAGATTGTTTGTTGAATTCAATTGATGTTTTTTTTTTGGTTGGAAGAAATTGAAGGTGAGAAATGAGATTTGTAGCAAAAGGAGTTGGGATGGACTCTATGTAATTATGATTCATCAAGGCAGTAATGAGTTTTATTATTTTACATGTACAAAATTTTTAAATTATTATGCTTATTGAGGCTGCTTGTCAGATCCCTCAACCAGTTTTTTTTTTTTTGAAATTTTTTACCAAAAACAGGTGGTAGTGGCGATATAAACGATTTTATTGCATCTTCTTAAACTTTGTCCAAAATAGAAAACGATTTTATTGAAAAACATCAATGCCGTTTTGCAAGTAAGGCTTCATTCAAACCAAAGGGTATTTGGCCCAAAGATATTAGGAGTTGATGGAGAGGTTCCCTCAACCAAAGGTTAAGGGTTCAACTCCCACTTGGGACAAACTATGGTTGGAGTGCGACTTAGCCATTAAAAAAAGTAAAGAAACCAGTGAGCCTTCCAATTTCTAATCCAACCAATCTCTTTGGGGATAAAATTTTCTTCCAAGGAACTAGATCATTAAAATAACACCATCCTAAAAACGTGGCCAATACACCAATAGTGAATTTGAGAAGAAGATTATTCCAGTCTTCCTTTCTCATAACTCACTTGTCAACTCTTCCACCTCTCTAAATTGAGTATCAACTCCAAATATATAAACTTTTAGGAGAATAAATTTGAAGCCCAAATCCAAATGAAAACATATCAAAGCACAAATTAATACGTAAGACATTTTCAGTAGACCATTCAACCATAAAGATTGCACTGTCTGCAAAAAAAATAATGTGAGAAATTCCGAAATCACCAATAGCTACATTCACACCTTTGATGATTCATTTTTGCTTAGCCTCGATGGTTTATACGTTAAGACCCTACATAGTGAGAGTAAAAAGAAAGGGATATAAAAGATCATATTGGCAAAGATCCTTTGAGATGTTAAGTTCTTCAAGGGATGACATGTTGACTATAACAGAAGAATGAGCACAATGTAAAGTGGTTTTAATTTAATCCGTCTTCTCTATTTGTAAGAGAATCTAATTGAGTCCATAACCAAGTCAATATACCCTCGGTTTAAAGAATCAAAAGCTTCTTTTTCATCACTTTAGACAACTCAATTAGTTATTGACCATTAAAGGCTCACCAAGAATTTGTCAAGAACGTAATTCTTAATCAGTTTGTTAAAATCTTCGTGATTACTTAGCATTAACAAACTAAAAGGGTTACACACGAAAATGGGCCACATACAGCATGTTTGTGAATTTTGGAATAAAGTAACGAAAGAAGGGTTTCAACCTTGGGATTCAAGCAGAAGTTTTGAATTCATTCCCATGTCCACAAATGCGTTACTAATTAAAACCCACCACAAAAAATCCGGAATATGCATTCCGGAATTTGCAAATCCGAAGCACGATCTACCCGCATCTCGGACCTAATTTTCAGCATGGATTCGTCAAACAAAATAAATTTTAAGTTACTTTGCATTTGATTTTATAAAAGGATTTACGTATTTCGAAATGGTCCGAAATATGAGGAACGAGTCCGGAATACTATGACCGATTCCGAGATTACCCTTTTTTTAAAATGTTTTTGTCGTTCTATGTGTATTAATCTCATGTAAGTACCTTATAGTGTGTTTCGGATCGTTTGTTTTAGTCCGGAAGTACGTATTGTAGGGATTACAAAATGGTATTGTAAGTCCGGAATACGAAGAACGTGGTCCGGATTTCGATGAACTATTCCAAAATGATTTATAGAATATCAATCCGGAATAACTATGCTTATCATTTTTTTTTTCTAAATATTGTTTAATAAGCCATGTTAGTCCAAAGACGAGTTTGCGTGGATGTTGTTAAAAAAAGTGGGTTTTACGGGCGACAAAGTTGTATTTCATTTACATGAGTTTTCAGAATTGCATCCGATAAAGGTAAAATCAAAAAACAAAAATTTAAAATTTTAATTTATTTTTACGGTAATATATTAAAATGTTGATGAAAATTTGGTTTTGTAGATAAAAAACCAAGATGTTGAGTTACAAAATAAAATAAAAAATAAACCAACAAAGACACCTGTAAAATTAAGAAATAAAGCAGAAAGGTTGTTAAAACTTAAATTAAAACCAAATAGAACTCCGAAAGATAGGACCTGAGCAAGTGCAGAAAAACATGGTATGATAGACTAGTTGCATTTTTTTTTTATTATTATTTTTTTGTTAGGGGTATGTTTCATTAAGTTGGTTTTATTATTAATAAATACTTTTATGCACGTTGGTTTTAAATGAGTATATTAATATAATTTAGGTATATTTTACTTTCAGTCTTCAAGATTCAGTGATTCGAACGATGACGATGAGTTTCCTATAGAATATGCTATACCATATCTTGAAGACGAACAAATGATTCGTGATTATCGACATTCGAAACAACAAATGGTAATACTGAATCCCATTACTGCCTTCAGCGACTAAGGAGCGGATACAAGCAACATTGTATAACATGCAAATGCTCCTTATTACCATGTTTGGAGATATATGACAATTTATGAACACAATGAACATCATCGAAGAAACACGCGAGGCAACTCCAATCAGATCAAATCGAGTTGACTGGTAATGGGTTGAAACTAATTGAGACATACATGAAATTTTTTGAAAATCATGTAAACACGACTAGTTTGCATCAGATGCAAGTTCCCAATTATCAGCAAAAAATGTAATCTAATTTTAAATACAGATATTGTAATGTCTTTTGAAACTGAATTCTGTAAACGGAACGATATGATAATCCAAAATGACAAAAAAATATTAACATTATTGCAAAGAGTATTATAAATCATAATACATATTTAGATTGGTTTCCACAAATTAGGAAATTGTAAGGGATACATATTTTGTTCGCAATTGATAAAATCTTCTCTAATTCTAACAAAATTTGTTAGACGGTCCCATTCTGCACAAAGTTTATTTATCTCCGCATTTGCATCTTCACCCAACTTCTTAGTTTGTTTCACTTCTTTCACAACCTTAGAAACCCATTTTTCTTTTTTCATTTACTTGCTCTACTAGATCGTTTGCACATTGATTTAGTGGGTGACTTCTTTTAGAGTTCTTTTCGTTTACTTCTTCAGCAACCTGTATAGCTTGGAAAACGTTATCAAACATTTTATCCGGGAGTGAGAAATCTGGGTCTTACGGAAACGAGTTATTATCTGAACAAACATAACAATCTTCTTCTTCATAATGGCAAACACCATCTTGAGATGAACTCATTCCAATTTCTTTTCTACGTTGAGAATGCATGATAGGTGCATTTTAAGGTCGAAAAGCAATGCCCAGAACGAGGGGCCGAAATAGAAAATCTGGAATGTGGCTCCGAAATGTGGTTCTGGAGTGTGGTTCCATGTTTGTAAATCCCATTTTATGATTGGCATAAATCCTTTGTAAATTATAAAATATAACGTTTTATGATGAGATTCACGAGTTTCCTTGTTTTAGTTTTGAAAACTAACTCTAAAAGTTAATTTCTTAATCAGTTCTATGTTAAAAGCATGCTGGACATGTAAGTATTTCATACGAAATAATAGGTTTTGAGTACAAGTTCCCTTGTACTTTTGCTTGTATCCCCCCCTGAAATCATGAAAAACTCGAAAAAATGTGTAGGGGTATGAACTCACCTGCAGTGAATGGATGGAAGTGCCGGGTAGGTATGTTAGGTGTTAAGTGAGGACTTGAACACACGCGAGGATCCTATGTAACATGAAGTGATACATAATTGTATCTAATTAGTTATTTAATCACTAATTAAGTAAGTAAATACACTCTAATGCGTGAAAACACTTTATTTCAAGTGTTAGGGGTGATACGGGTTGCATCTAAGGAGTGTATGGCCTCATTATGGAGTTTACTCTTCAAGTGGTGGCCTTAGGGGTGTTTACGGTTGAGGGACCATATCCCCCATGAGTTTACGGCCGTAAACTCATGGGAATGATGGGTTTGGGTGCTCAAAGGTCTTAAATTACTCATGGACTTATGCTAGACTCGAATCAAGGGCTATGGAAGTGATTGGAGCTTGAAATGGCCCTTATTTGGAGTTTACGGTCATAAACACATGATTTTACGGCCGTAAACTCATGTTTTTCACTTTCTTTCATGGTTTGGTGCTTCTAGGATAAGCATACAAGGTTCTAGCCACTCATTCAAGTCATAGAAGGTGTTAAGGGCATTTTAACACCCTTAGAAGGTGTTTACGGTTTTGGGATATTCCCCAACCGTAAACTCATGTTTACTCTTATTATTTCATGTTTTGGGGTTCTAGGATCATTCATGCAAGTTTCTTGGTCATTAAACAATCATTGGAAAGGTTTTGGGGCATCAAAACCCCCTTTTAGGGTGTTTACGGTTTTGGGATGTTCCCAAACCGTAAACTCATGTTCTTGGTGTTTTTGAGAGTTTAAACCATAGATTTGCATGTATGCTAAGCTAAACAAGCTAGGAGGGTTTACTTACTGTTGTGAAGCTTGAAAGGGACAATTCTTGATCAAAAACCGATTTGTAGAGAGAGAGAGAGAGAGAGAGAGTAGAGAGAGGAGGTTCCTAAGATGTGAAAAAGGTTGGAATGAAGACCACTCAACCCATATATAGGGTTGAGTTTATGGCCAGGGTGGGGGGTCCACCAAATATCAACCGCAAATGAGATTTTTCGCGTGATTTATCATTTTCCGACACGTATGAAATTACGACAATAACCCAAATGGATTTACTTAACTTAAAAGTTAACGGAAAAATTTAATAATAAAAATAAATTTTATTAACGGAAAAGGGTTACAGTGACGGAATAAATTTCGGGTTGTCACAGACAAGGTCATACCTGATTTGGAGTGTTACAGATCAGTTAGGTTAGAATTGCTTAAACGTGTTCTTTTTAAGCTATCACTAAAGCTAGAGACAATAAATTTCAAATCATCTAATTCAAATTCGTAATGAGCGACATGAATATTAAGAGACTGGAGAATAGATTGTATCTTACTGATGACTCTCTCACATACACTGACCTGTTCAGAAACAGGTCATGCAACAAAATAGTTGTCCGAGGCATGCGCACTATCAGCGGTGTATCCTTTTTGCTCTGAAACATC